GTGCCTTGCCATAGCTTAAATAGAAGCTCTCAAAACAAGCTCATTAATACAAGTTGCCGCCATTATCGTCCAGGACGATAGGCATATCGACTTGGCCGATTAGCTCAAATATGAGGAAAATCGTCCTGAATATCGCCCTGAAATGAACCTGGACGATGTCTAATAGTCCTGGACGATCTTGCGATCGGCCCGGACGAAATCCCCATTAATTGCTTTCCAAAACTGCTTGAGAAATTTTGGAAAAATCGTCCCGGATCGTCCTGGACGATATTTTATAGTCCAGGCCGATCCTCTGGACGATGTCCAAAAATAGGTTATTTCTTAATAGATCTGGCGGCAGATTCTTGCTGAATTGAGCCGATCGTCCTGGCCGATACAAAATCGTCCAGGACGATGTGTTTTGCATAAAGACGGCTGCTTTAATGAGGATGCCCTAATTAGGGTTTCTACTTTTGTCAGATCGTCCAGGACGATATAAATATCGTCCCGAACGATGTTACCAAAAATAGAAATCTTTTAGGGCACAACAGAAAATCTTCCAAGTTACAAATCATCAGATGCCACACCAAATACAACAGACTCAAGAAAGAAAAAAGATTACAAACTGATTCAGACCTAGTCTACCCAATCTTGAGCTGATTTCAACTTGGAGTCCGATCGTGTGAACCTGAAATGTCAGTACATAAGGCAGTTGTAGAGAAAAAAGAATGTTTGCTATCATCAAAATCATAAGCCATAGATCCGCAACATAATTTTCCATCGAAAAATCTACCGGTAATTCATGACTTTCCTATAGTGAGAGTCATGCCCTCTTAGGAATGAAATAATTCTATTTTTTTCAATAATAAAAAGAAACATTATCTAGTAAAAGTGGTTGATGAGTAGATTTTTCTATGAACCCTTAAGAAAATATTATGTAATAGTTTATTAATTAATATACTCTAGGATTTTAAGCCTAAAGAAAGAGTCAAAGCTTTGATACTAGCTGTTGGAGGACTATGGCACCTCAAAAGGGAGATTTTTTAACTAAAAAATGATTAATATAATTTTGATGCTAATTAATAAGAGAAAAAATAAACACATAATTGTAAGATCTTTCAAGTAAAGTAAATGATTAAAAAAAGTGCAAGTAAATAAAATAGCTGACATAATATTTTTACATGGTTTGCATTAAACACCGATTTAACTTCATGCTAGCCAACTCTGGAGATAGAATCCACTAATACTTGGTTCGCCTTCCAAATACAAATTTTTTAATCAAATAATTTACTTAAAATCTAAATACTCTCCTATACGTGTGAGTATAATCTAATTTATTTATAATATAAATTCCACTAAGTCAAATGGCTTAGATTAAGAAAAAGAGAAGTACAACTTATTGTAAATAATACAACCTCAAATTTTCAAGTAATAAAGGACTAAAACATTGGATATGATTTTATTAAATATTTATATATAATCACATCACTACTTACAAATGAAATGTAAAATTTGCTTATTATAAAATATATTTATCTTTTGATATATTTATATAAATAATATTTCACAAAAAAAATGTTGCATATTAATTTAAATATAACTCTTTAAATCATTTCAAGTGGATATATTAATAAAAATATGTACAAATAATACTTTTGAAGATATATGAGATTTGGATAGTAAATCTATGCTAAAAAAAAAAAAAAAGATGTACATAATAATTTTATGGATGAAAGAAAGTAAAACCTAAAAACTTAATCTTAGATCCTTAATGAGTATATAACCCAAATAATAATAATTTTCAAGAAAATAGAAGGTAAAAAAAAAAGAACGTCAAATAAAAATTTTGGAGAAAGAAAAATGAACTCTAAAATTTCAAGAAAAGTTGCTAGATTCAGTGTATCAGCTTTTGAATTTAGGATTTGATCTTTCAAAGATGTAGAGCACTTGAAATGAAAAACTAAGCTTCTCCCTCAAGATTTATCATGTATATAAAGGAGGAAGAAGAGAGAACGTGCTGGAATTTTTATGTTAAGAGCAGCCCACACATGAAGATAATGGGGGTTATTCATAAGAAAAATATAAGCTAAAGAAAACTAATAATCTATGATTTTTTTAGCAATTAATAAAATTATAATTTGTATTAAAAAATATTAGATTCAAATGGTTACTCGTATGTTCAGTCAGAATGTTTTGAAATATATTTAAAAGAATATAAAGCCAGCTTAAACTATTAAAATTAGATAATGTTTAAAAAAATCATTATAAATTTCATTTAAATCCGAAGTGGTTCATTAACCTATCAATTTTCATCTACAAAATCTAGTGAATTCAAATGGAATGAAAATCAAGTCAAAATTTAGTGACTATAAATATTTTTTATTAAAATAAAATTTTGTATAAGTTTAAATCTATTTTAAATTATATTAAAAATTCATACAAAATTAAGAACTATTTAGAAAAACTCACTTATATATAAGGAAATTTTTATAAAAGAATTAATTAAAAAAGGATACATAAGTATACTTAATAAAATTCCAAGTATGTAGGTATGTTACTTTTACTTATCATAATTACTCATTTTTGATAAATTTATATTATATATGAAGTATTTTAAAATTTTTAAATTAACATATTTAATTGCGAAATCTTAATGATTTTAAATTTAAGCTTATTATCCTTAACTGATAATATATAAAGTACATTAATCGATATATTACAATCGTGAGCAAGTCAGATCGTGCAAGTAAACTTCTATAGACCTCTAAGACACTTCTAAATGAAAATAACCTGAATTATTTTTTCGAAAGCTCCAAGCTATCCATCTTAATCCATCTTAGGTTCATTTATGTTCAAATTTTGATCAAACTTAGGTTGTGCAATGTACATCCATACAAGTAGTCATCTTACACAACTAAAAACCAAAGCACCTAAAATACTTAGCGTACATTATGTTATCATCAAATTTAATAGAATATATCATAAAGCTTATAAAGCCAATAGTAGCATATCTTCGACCAACTTGAATCAATCAATCATTTTCAACCAACTTTTCTTATTTTCACACACATGCATCATATATACATATGCATTTATTATGTCAAAATGTATGTCATGTCATATGAATGGTAGTTTATGCATGTTATATAATCCAAGTCTAGATTTATATGTACTAGTTTCTATTCACTTTATATGCTTTTTATTTTAATTATTTCATATAAAATAGCATCTATGCAAAATTATTTGATGAAATCTTGAAATGACCGCTCCAAAATATTCAAAATGTAAATATTTACCACATATAAAAATTTATGCAATGAAAGTTCAGTAAATTGGAAGAAAATGTATTTTAACTAGATTTGAGAGGAAGAAAATTATAAAAATTAAAACCACCGAAAATAAACATAGGATAAATATTATCTACAATGATCAGAGTAACTTTTGTAACTCGAGTGATTGTGGAAACACCCAATAGTTGATCTCTCTCTCTCTCTCTCTCTCTCTCTCTCTCTCTCTCTCTCTCTCTCTCTCTCATCCAAGCAACGAATGGGGAATGAAACGGGAACAGTAAGGGTTTAAGAAAAAATGGAATGAAATATTTTTATATAAAAAATATTTTGATTGTGTTAATGCTACAATGCTCTAGACCTCAATGCTTCAATGCTAACCCTGATCCCTATAGAATAAAGAAGATAATGCCACTATGGTCAATCACCCATAACCCCCAACATAGAAAGGGCAACATCACTATGCAAGGCATCACAACATCGTAGTGCTCCTAGCAAAAAATTTCATGCATGCAATATTTTCAATATGCTTCACTAATAGGTCATTAATTCATCTTTAATCTTATAAAAATTAAGATTACTATAGTGACAAAGTAAGCAAGACAGGTGATTGAGTTTCCTCACCTTCATATTCAAGTTTTTGCTTTTTTTTTTTTCCTTAGAGCGTGTTGTGAATATAACTTTTTATTAATGTATGAAATGTATTTCCATCTAACTCACTTTCTATTATATTCAATTATATTCTCTTGCTACTTTATAATTTCTCTAAGTGTTGAAATCGACTGTCTATTTGAATGACAAGTGTGGGTACAAATACTATGGTACTCTTTTATATATGATTATAAGAAATTTCTCAAAGTTTTTGAATCGGCCAATGGTAGATTATAAGTAGAAAAGCAACTTGGCAATTAATGAACAATTAGCTAATCTTGTCTATCAACTATAATTTAAACATTAAGTGTAGGAACTTATAACTTGATCTTTGAATGAATAATTAATCAACTTGAATGTTGAATAAATAATGTGGAACTCGGTCATCGATTGCAAGGATTTTCTTCTACAAGTTTTTCAGCTTCATAAAATGTAACTAGGATGACATCCATCATTCAAGCATATGGGTTGATGCTGACATCACTTCTCTGCCCTTCAATCTCTTAGTTATATCCTTGGAGTATTCATTCATCCCCAAAATGACGTATACTACTGCCATAGAAATGGAGCAAGCCAGGACCAATTCGCTCCCATGTCACACACCATGGGATCTTTCCTAAATGCCGACCAAGTTCCGCAATTACGAATTCTTTCAACATGCCAAACTTGATCAGATCTTCTACTAATCACAAAGATAACAACACTCTATATCGTGATCGTGGTATGTGAAAGGCATGTTATCCTCAAATATTTCTATCATGTGCACTCACCTTTATAGGCATTAAGTGCTTAATGAACACCTTATGCTATAATACTAATTAGACCTTTTGAGAAGCAACTCCCAACCAAATACTCTATTTAGTTGGGTCTAGTGGCCCTAAGGCAAGCCCTTGTATGAGCCCACAAAATATACATTCGAATGCTATGACATACCTATTATTTGTTAGATAACTAAAAAGACATAGAGTATGCCGTAAAATGTAATAAAAAATAAAAAAGGCCAATGAATAAAAAAATGTTTTACTGAGAATGGAAACTAACATTTCCCGGGAAATAAAAAGAGAAGCTGACATTTCCAAGGCATGCACCGAATGAAGCTTTATTGAAAATGTAGGAAATAGTTTTATCACTTCCATAACATAAAAATAAGCCGCCTCACAAATCAATTTAAGTGCTTATTAAATCATAATGATCATGCACTATGCAAGCTTTAAGGATTGTGTTGATCAAGATCAATATTTTGCTAGAAAAAAAAAAACCTGAGATTTGGCCTTCTTTTTCTCGCAAATTAAGTTGTTTCTGTTTATTTCGTTAGAAAACCGAAATATCATCATTAATTTCTTGCATTGAACATCAAAAACACGGGAACAAAAAAGGACAAAAGCCCGCAATAGAAAAAGAACTAAACATTAACAAGGTCTAACGATTCTCAGATTGCCCAAAGTATTTCCCTGCAATTGCGATCAAAATGTTGAGCATTGAAACCTCATCATCCACTTCAGATTTTGCAGCCAGAAGATTAGAGCACTTGCGTAGCAGGCACCTCACAGAAGCACAAGTATCAACATCCAGAGGAGAATCTACAGTTGCAGAGAGGGCGTATAGCCACAGGCAGTCTTCTCTCGAAAGGGAAATTGCTGCCTCCAACGAGCGTATGCTGCTTCGAAGTATGAAAGCTCGCGAGGTCACATCCATGGCAAGAATCGAAGTCAGTGTAGGATCGCTGTTTGGCTTCTGCCTGCACACTGAAGGCTTTGGAAATTCGTTGGCCGTGGGAGAATTTTCAAACTCAGAAAAAGCCTGGAAAGAGGATCCCAGTTCAAGAACAATTCATAAAAGAAAAACAAGTAGGCATTGCTATTAAAGGCAGCAGAAAAGTTGAGTAATATGCAGATTTCTTTTACAAAACAACATGAGAAAAGCAAAAAAGTTTGCATAATATAGATTTCAACTCTCATTTCATGATGAACTATATCAATGAGGTCGAATTGAGAATGAGAATTTATAAAGCCGAACTCAAGAAATTTGAATCCTCACGTCATATTGTGCTCAGTGAATGAAAAGCAGAAAAAATCTAAAATACCATAAAAAAAGGCAAAGACTTTGTTCAATATAGGTTTGATTTCAAAGTAGTACTATATGAAAACCAATAAAAAATAAGAATTCCAAAAGCCCACATTAAATAGTTGTGATAAAATAGATGAAGACAATGATGATAAACTGCTAAATAAATTTGTAAATCTTGTAGAATTGTTATCGAGTTTATGATAGATAAGACAATTTATTTGAGGGATTACTCTTTATTACTATACAAGAATGGAAGACCAGAGGACAATCATGAAGATAATCAAGGTATACTGTTAAGTTATCAAAGATGTAAAAAATGGTTGATGACCAATCCATCCTCTAAGATAGATTTATACCTATGTCACAGAATTCTGGAAAAGAATAAATAGAGATCGCTCAAATTCGTAGATTAGAGAACTAAATTGATGAAGGACAGAAAAAAATTTAATCGTAGGACCTTAGCTTTTAGAAAGGGGTGGTTTTAGCATACAAAAATAATAACATCAAGCCCTTATCCAACTACGTGGGGTCGACTACATGAATCATTTTTCTCTATTGTGACATGTTAAGAGTCAAATCCTCATTTAAATCTAATAAAGAAATGTCATTTCTAATATTTTCTAACCAAATCTTTTTAGGTTTACCTCTACCTTTCTTAACATAGGCCAAATCTAATATATTTACTATCCTAACAGGGTCATCAAAAGACTCATTTTACAGGACCAAACTATCTAAGGTGACTCTCTCTAATCTTATATGTCACTGGAAATACTTCAACCTTTTCACGGATTTGGTCATTTCATATCTCGTTTCTACGGTAAGTCCAATTATCAACCTGAGCATCCTCATCTCAAAAACACTTAAAATAATATTATGCTTCTCTTTTAATGGCCAATATTCTGCGCCATAAAACATTGCAGGTCTCACCACCATCTTATAAAATTTTCCCTTAAGTTTGAGTGGTACTTTTCTATCACACAACAAACCCAAAGCATTCCTCCACTTCGACCATCCAACTTGAATTCCACTAATAACCCCATCTACTTCACCATCTCTATGCACAATAAACTCAAGAGATTTTTTAACAAGTACACTTATTAATGACTTGATCGCTCAAAGTCACAAAACCTCACTAGATCTGTTAGTTTAAAAATTGTACTCCATGTATTCAATTTTAGATCTACTCAAACGAAAACCTTTAGACTCTAAGGGCTGGTTTGGGACGGCGTCACTACTGCTTTACTATTTAAAAAGCAATTAAACTTTTGTTTGGCCTGATTGCGGCACAGCCGGTTACGAAAATTTCTGCTGCCTCTCACTGCTTCCCGCGATCGAACCTTACCTCCCGCGGTACGCTGCTTTCCGCGGTTTCGAAGAACAAAAATTATGCTACTGCCCCAATTCGTGCGGAAGTTGTCAATCATTCCGCCATATCCATGCCCTCGTCTCCACTACCATACCTATATTCACGACATTCTGATCACGCAAATCATCGTCACAGCCAGTTATTGTTCGTCATCCCAATCCCCATACTCATACTCGTCTCCAGCGGGCTGCATCCTCAGCTCCATTCGGTAGGAGGTCGCTTGAAAGTCACTCATCAATTCAGCTGCTTCTTTTGAATAGGTATGAATTTCTTCAATCTGACCTCCTGCCTTTCGCTCATCTACGATTTTGGGTCTCTTGTCTCTCTCTCTAGCAAACCCCATCTGCTTTTGTTGCGTCCTGGAATGTGTTTTCCAGTTGTTCATACTTCTCGTGCTGCGCAGGGGTTGCTTAAGCCCTAGTTCTTGTTTCGATCTGGAATTGGGCGGCCCTGTAGCGGTTGTTTTGGGGTTGGTCAAGGGTTTGCAGCTGGGCTTTAATGGGTAAACTTTTCGGTTTTGTTTGCTAATACTCGAAGTTTGAATCTTTTATGAAAAATATGAAATTCTTATACTGAAGAGGGGTTGCTGCCGTTGATCGAGGGGTTGGTCCAGGGTTTGCTATTGTTGCTTCTCATGATGCCACTTTCTTTATTTAGATCTGTTTTGTTTTTATGTTGCTCATATCCTGCATACAACTTAAACGGTAGCATGAATTCTTATACTGAAGTTCATTTCATGTGGATTGATGGAAATAAGTTTCAATGGGGGCGGAGGGAGCTTGCCAGAGTTTGCATACGGCTATCGATGAGCAATTTCCTTTGGGAGTATGGATTGACGGAATGGATGGCCGTTTCTTCCAAAAAGTAGAGTATGAAAAAATTTCCACATTTTGTTTTAAGTGTGGAAACTTAGGCCATTTCATGAATGATTGTAAGGTGAAGAGTGATGTTCAAACGGTGGAAGATCCTAAGGTTTCTGCGGATGGTGTTTCAGTCGAAGGCTCCCAGGTGAAGAAAACGGTTCATGTGAATCATAAAGGCAGAAGGAGATTCAAGCCAGCTGGGAATAGATTGATTAAATCTAATGCTGAATCAAAATTCAGTCGTCCGAAGAAGGCTCCTGTGTATGTTAAAAAATCTCAAATGGAAATGGTAAACCAATCTATTAATATATCAGCTGGAATAGAAAAGGAAACTGAAGTTCAAGAAGTTCAACCAGTTGCTGAAAATCAAATTGTTGCTGAGCCGGTTGATGTTATGTCAAAGGCTGAGGTTTTCGAGTTGCTGGAACATCCAGAGCCCATGAAGATTATTGTATAAGGTAAGGAGATTGCTAATCCTAAACCTATCAAAGTAGATAATAAATTCAATATTCTTCAGAATTGTGGAGGAGATTTTACTGCAAATCTGGAATCAGCTCCTTTGATCCCAGCTGATGAGGTAGAAGAGGGGGAGGTTATTGACGACAGTATTAAACCCACTCTTTCAGATAAGCTGAAGTTGGTTGTTTCCAATGGAGGGGAGAAAGGGAAGCTTTTAAAAGAGCTTAATTCATTGGGAAAGTCTAATATCCTCCAACATAATAGAAAAGGTGGCATGTTATCAAGAGGTAGGAAAGGGAGCAATCCCAAATCTTATCTTTAAATGTCTTCTATTACTTTTTGGAATTGTAGGGAGGCTAGGAAGAGAGAAGCCTCTCATTATCTGAAAGAGTTTGTGAAAGATTATGATATATTTTTATTTGGGCTTGTAGAAATTAAGATCTCTACAATGGATACATTTGAATGTAATAAATTGATTGGTAGCAATTGGGATTTTTTTTCTTTTTCCTTCAGATGGCTTATCTGGGGGAATTTTGGTTTGTTGGAGAAAGGATTTAGCTTCCTTCTCAGTTATAGAAGCTTCTTCTCAAGTTGTAATAGGGGAAGTTCAAATTTTCAACAAAGGAGTGTGGATCATCTCTTCGGTTTATGCTAGTAGAGATCCCATTGGAAGAAGAAGCTTATGGAGTAAATTAGAAATGCTCTCTGATTTTAATCTTCCCTCCATTGTGGGAGGTGACTTCAATTGTGTATTATCTCAAGACGAGAAAAGAGGAGGGAAAAAGTTCTCCTTCTCACAAGGAGCTCAAGACATGATTTGTTTATGAACTCATGTGATTTCCCTGATTTGAAGAGTATTGGCCCCAAATTTATTTGGTGTAGCAATAAGAAGGGTGGAGCACGTATTTTGGAAAGATTAGATCTTTGTCTTGTGAACACGGCTGCTCTGGAAATTCTTAAGACCACTAATGTTCGTCATCTTGCTAGAATAGCTTCAGACCATTGTCCAATCCTGATTAATATCATTCCTAAAAGTATTCAGAAAAACAGGATTCTAAAATATGAAGAAATCTGGTCTTCATATCCAGCTGCAGCAGCTATTGTTTCCAATTCTTGGATAAAACCTGCTCAAGGGGATGAAGCTAATGTATTGAAATTGAAATTTAGAAGAGCTTTGAGAGCTCTCTTTTTTTCTGGAGCAGATCAAAGCATCAAAGTCTTGCGGCTTTGAAGGAAGGATTGAAGAAGGACATTATAGAACTACAGGAGGAAGAAGCTGAATCGGGTTGGTTACCTGAAGAAAAATTACTGTTGCTTAAAGCCAAAGTTCATGAACTAAATAACACGCTTGGACGTCTCAACATATGGTGGAGGCAACGTGCAAAGGTGAAATGGAATGCGGATGGAGACTCTAACTCAAATTTTTTCCATGCTTTTGGTTCTGGAAGGCGCAATAGCAATTGGATCCATCAGATCAAAAATAGTCAAGAAAATTGGGAAGAAGATCCTAAAGAGATTGAAGGTATTTTCTTTGATTTCTTCAATAGTAAATGGAAAAACAGGTCACGTAAACTGGAAGGTTGGCCGGCTCCTATTCATGTTCTAAATGATATAGATAAAAGGATCTTGTTGGCTGATTTTACCATTGAGGACTTGGAAAGGGTGGTGTTCAATTTAGAAGCTAATATCTCACCAGGTATTAATGGCATCTCATACTCTTTTATTAAAGCTTATTGGTTGATTATTAAAGAAGACTAGTGGAATGCTATTAATGTTTTTTTTCAAAAAGGGCATCATGTGTCCTAAGTGGAGGGAAACTTTAGTGGTTCTTATTCCTAAAACTAAAAATTCAACCTTTCCTTCAAACTTTAGGCCTATTAGCCTTTGTTTGTCAGTTTACAAGATTGTGGCTAAGATGCTCATGAATAGGATTAATTTCATCATTCCTAAGATTATTTCTAAGGAACAAGTTGCTTTTGTGAAAAGGCGTTCAATCTCTGATCATGTTCTACTTGCTCAAGAATTATTCAATAAATTTAGATTTT